AGGCACATTCCACGACAAATCTTGAGGAATGGAACCCTTCAGTGAGCAGGATAGAGTTACCCACAAACGGCGTTGCTGTGCCGTTCGTGCGTGAAAAGGGCCTCTTTTTTGCAGCCTGTGGGAGTAGGCTTGAACGCTAGCGACGCGTCGATCTACATAGCGGTGTGCCTAAGACTCTCTCGTCCCTATGCTCTCTCGCCATTCTTTTTGCCTTGGCGCCTAATGTCTATTTGGTGCAGAGCATTCGGCTCTTTAAGTGCAGACCTTTTCCTATGACATATTCTACTTTGGCTTTTTTGCAGTCGCCAACCAACGTCGCTAGTTTCATTTTTGAGCGGAATACCGTTTCTAGTGATCACGGAATACACTAACTTGCCTTCAAATTGTTACCGTAATTACTTTTGAGTTTTTTTTATATTCTTAAGCGAGAGGAACGTGGAATGACCTGAAAGGTAACGAAGCATAGTTACTGATTACTTCCATTTTGTGCTCTTCTAGTGCACAGCCCAAAATTTCGGGGAACGCAAACAGTTTGTGGAGGCTAGATCGTGGGTGGATTTTCGAGTCTTCTTCGAGGTAATGCTTTTGGAGGCGCGAGCGCGTGAGAACCCTTGACATGAAAACAACTATCTTTCCACGTGGTTTCATAATATAAGAACAATTTTGCTTCGCTTGAATCTGCCCGAAATCGATAATGAAAATTCCAGCTGAACGGCCTAATATTTTTTAATCGTGAATCGCAGGATTAGTTCCTGTGGTAGTCTATGCTACCTTTATCCTAGAAAAATTCATGTATTTTTCACTTTACCCTTTCACACTACGTTTGTTAAATTTCATACTCGTTTAGGTGTGGCTTCGGTAACGATGGTGATGACAAACCAGTGTGATCTACCGATTCCTGACATCTACGTCGACGATCTGAAACGAGCTCAGGAACGTGAACAACTCCAGCAGAAGACGACGGTCAGCAGCAGCAACGGAAGCAGCTCAGCGTCATCGCTTATTCGACCTCCCGTACCGGTGCTGTCATCAACGAAACGCCGAGGATACTCAGCAAGGTAAATAAAGGCAAGCCTCGGCCCTGGGATAAAATGGGTCTTTGACAGCGTTCTGTAATGAAACTGGGGTGGTGAATAGTCGAAAAAACAAAAAGAAAGGAACAGGAACCTCTGAATACGCCCCGAACAGTAACAGTGGAAGGCAAGAGTTGCAGATGAAACTGTGGATTGAGGGTCGGGCGAATTCTAGCTATGTCAATGCTTATTCGCCTTTATACCATGGTTGGGGATGAAACAGGTGGACGTGCCTAATCTCGGACCGTGGGGGGAGGGTGGGAGGGGAAGGAGTGGCCGACTACGAAACGGCTGGCGATCATGTGATGGTCAAGTCAGCGTGATCACCTTTTCGAACGACTCTGGCAAGTAACGGACGGAAGTCTTGATAAGGTCAGATGGAATCTATCAGGGATCTGGGGCGGGCCAGTGTGCGTGATGAGCGGCTCCTTTTACAAATCTTTACCGCCATAGTGAGAGGAGCGTTACCGGTGATTCAGTAGGAGTGATTTTTAAGAAAGAAAATGGAAGAGAAAACAAGCGAAATCGAAAATAGTTTCCTCAAAGCGAGGGATTACGATGAGATTGGGTTGGGTTCATAGTGGAAGTGGAGATGCTGAATAATGCCCCAGTGGCGAAAAAAGCAAAGAAATCCGTCAAGAACGCGCAAAATGGGACCCTTTCTTTGCCCGTTGACCTCCGATAATGGACGAGCTGGCAACCAACTAAGAGGTCGTTGCACATGTTAAACCATAGGCACCATAATACTAGCAAAGGCGGAGCCTCGATTGATAACGCATTGATTAAAAACGGGAAGTTATTAGGATACACACTCGAAGTGGCATACCTTATCCAAATGATAATCGAACAGTGATGCTAGCAACACTGAGGGGCGGAGCACAGGCGGAGGCGGAGCTCAGAAAGGATTGGCAGCCCCAGGGCGCTGCAACTAGCGCACCTTTGGTCACAAAAAGGCCACATCTCGCTTCCTTTAGGCCCTCTGACTACTGCTTCCACTGGTGCATGTACTTCCATGCTTGCACACACACACACTTT